GGGCACTTGTAATTATGAGGCATGATGGCAAAAGCAACTGGAAATTACAAGCATGCGCAGTATGTATGGAAAAAGTGGATTATTTTGCTGGCATTGGTACAGTATCCCACAAGAGTACTGTCTGGGCTCAAGTTATTTAAGTGCCTGCACCAAAGACCCTACACCTTGTTTTTTACTTTTGAGGACTGAAATATGTGGAAACCATGTGGGTGACAATAAACCCCGTTTGATGGCCATCATTTGAAAAAAAATAAAATAATATTTTGAATAGTAATTTTTAGGAGAATGCACAGTTAAAAAATAATGAAGAATTTTAGGTTTACATACATAATATTTTATTGTGGAAATGTATGGTTGAAAATGAGTATAATTTTTTTTTTTCAAATAATGACCATCAAACAGGAGCAAAATATAATTTTAATGGAGTCGAGCAAATTATTACTTTGTTTACTCGCGTGAACACACGTGTACGTAGGTGTGACTAGTAAAATTTTAATAGAGTACTCGCACAATTTATAACTTTGTTTACAAAGACGCCAGTCCATGTGCAGATATATATATATATAGACGTGTTTGGTATAATTTTAGCCCATATATGGCGTTACTTAAAAATTTGATAAAAATTAAAGTCAAAATTAATAATTAATTTTAACAATACATTTCATAAGATACACAACTTATCAACCACATATTTCATCATTTTTGTCAAAATATTTTAATTAGACAAATTTGTATGTAACTCTTGCAAAATTAATTTGTGACCTTCCTAACGAGATAGGTTGAATATTTATATAATGTCATTTGTCTCCATATAATACTTTTATCAGCCATTTTTTGTGATGGATATAGATAGAATGACCAAATAAAAAAAATAAAAATAAAAGTAGGCAATGAAATTGAAATAAATTAAAATGGAATGACCGAAATAAAATAAAGATGTAAGTTAGATGACCTCAGAGTGAAACTTCTCTCCCACACAAAACCATCTTTATTCTTTACAGAAGAAAAAGCAGAAAATAATGTGTGCTTTATATAAGCTTGGAGTTAAAGGAACTTGTGAGATGGGTTCTAAGGAAACTTTTTATGTTGTTTGTTTGAATTTGGAGAGAAAGAAACTTGGATTGGAGTGTTTGGTAAAAGGAGTTTCACTTTGAACACACATTACATTGGTTGTTGGCAGGGACGGATGGAGGGGGGGGTCCTGGGGGGACCCGGACCCCCCC